GCACCCAAAGCACTGACAAGACACAGCTGTTGTGGACTTTAGTGGAAGCTATAGCTCATCAGCCCATCTGTGTAAATTGCCAAAGGTGGGATTTAGACAGGAGGCTCAGGGTACCCGTGATTGGACTTGAGGTAGTTGTGAAGCACAGAAAGGAACAGATTGCCAGAAGAGCTGATGGAGAAACAGGATGGATAGGAAGAGCTGTGGTGGCAGATAAGTGATCTGACAACAGAAGCAGCAATGTAGATAAGCTCTTCTGTAACTACAACAACGCAAGCTGATAGAGCAGATGGTCACCTCAGTTTAGCCTCTAACGTGGCTGGTTGCCCTTAGCAATATTTACCCAAAAATACTCTACCGATGAAGATGGGATTTATGCAACAAACAGAGGGAAATGAGTCCTATTTTAAACAACATAAACCATGCTCTATATCGGCTCTGACTGTCCATTCATGCGCCAGTTTTGTACTTAGGCAGACTGCATGCAGGTAGCTGCTGACATCCTTGCTCTGATGAAGAGCTGAGGGGCTAGAGTTTCAGTCACAAGTTCTAGTAACTGCCTGGGGCCGCTGGGTAACTGGCTGCTTCCAGGAGACTGTCACGTATTGGACAGTACAGGAAACAAAAACACACACCCCCCAATGGAAGAGGTGCACGGTTTGAGACAAGGGGCTTTGGCTTTGAAAAATGAAAGGTAAAGATAGGAGATGTAGATGAGAGAAGGTGCTGATTGAAATGCAGGGAAGGCCATTTTGAAGGCACACTGCCGCGTTTACATTTACGGATCAATAAAGAACTCAATAAAGCCTCTTGAAGGCAGAAGGGAAGACTCTCTACTGCAGGCTAGCAGAAGAAACATGTCTTACCAAACCACTGTCCCTTACCTTGCGCACTAAACTGGTTCCTGAGTCCCAGCCAACTGCATCATCACTGTCCCTGTATAACAAGACTTTCCATCCCCAGGCTCGCTGTGAATGTTGTGGCATAACCCTGGGCTTCACCTAGCTCTTCAAGTGAGACTCTGTCTAGGAAAATGCACTTGAAGCAAGACCTTGGGAAGCAGCTGTGTCTGTATTTATGGATGAATGGGACAGCAGAATGAGTCACAGCGGGACCCCTGGACACTTTTGTAAAATAGTGAGCAAACAGTAGCAAATGGAAATAATTTATGGAATGATATCACCGAAAAATACTCAAAGCCAACTCAGCATAAGCACATGGTAATGCAACGTTGTGCAGCTCCACAGCACCAGGGAACCATCAGCACCATCACCGCTATTTTGATCTGCTAGGAACAACAACAAAGTGCGTAACCGGAAGATCCCGTCCCTTGAAGGAGGAGGGCAGAATAAGAAATGTAAATATAAACTAGCCCAAAGTCAGCCAGTATCTTGTGGGATGTTTCCAGTGATGGGATCTTCAGAAATGTTTCAGTGCAACAGCTTGTCTCGTGAAACGTTCAGATTATGCTTAACCTATGCAAAGGAAAAAAAGGGGACAGAGGGGAAAAAATACAGAACCGTAATGTAGTCAGTGCCCTGAAGTCCAGGGCGATTTAGCTCTAGGTGTTAAGATATGTGTTCAATCCTATATGAAGACAAACATTAGATACCGGAAGAAACAAATATTTGTGGTAGAACCCTGCCCCACAGCATGCTGTGTGGCTACCAAGCAGTTCAAGTGTGGCTTCCTTGTTGGGCCATGGCAGCAGTGAGGCTGTGCTGGCACGAGGTTGCTGGATAATCCAGACCCCAGGCTCTGCAGAAAATATCTCAGCAACAGACAGCAGATGCTGGCATCACCAGGGTGCCCAGGGAGCCAGCTGCATACCCAGCCTAACCCAGTCCTGCAGCAGTGCTGGGAAACCTTTGAAGAGCCACTGCCATCTCCTGCCCCAGAGCTCCCTGCCTTGGGCTCCCCAAGTGCCCAGTGCCTCTCCGGCAACTCAGAAGCAAACACACATCCTGATATGCAGCTCACGGGCCTGAAAGGTGGCGCCTGGCTGTGCTGAAGCTGCTCAGGGAAGGGAAGCAGCATGCTGATGCACAAATCATTCCTAGGACAGCTTCAGATGGTGGAAACCAGGCAGCCCTTCCCCAGATTCCCATTTTTTTGGAACATTCTGGAATCTGGAAATTTTTGGAGAATGGGCAAAATGTTCAACTCCCTTTCCCAGATCTGAAAAGATCATCTGGGAGCTGTCAGGACATTGCCATCAGCTCTCCATCAGTGTTATTCGGGGTTAATCCTGACCTAACCAAAGGCCTGATGTGAGAACTACGTCACTGGTGTGTGGAAAGCACTTTGAGATGCTTCAGTGGAACCTGATAAAGAAGGATAAATTATTATTCTCACACCCTCCCCCAAAATATTAGGTAAAGTACCATGCTGAGATGCTAGTGCAGACATGTTGCAAAAGGGGTTAACCTCAAAGGAGAGAGAAATTCTGCATTGGAAAGTGTGTCTCATGTTTGAAAGCCCAGAAATCTGCAAGCATTATGTATGTCTCAACTCATATATTTAATGAATATTGATTATCTCATCTGCATATGCTTACTACTTTTTATTAAAGAGCAAGTTGCTTGCATTTCCTTCTCCTTCTTCTTCATTATAGCATCAACGCTCAACAACCAGGACAGCATGCCACACAATGGTATAAACAGTGTTAACCAGATACTTAAGGGTTGTTCAGGCCTAAATTGACTAAAGCATACATACAAACTGATGTCAAGCATTTGGAATTACCATTTAAAACTAGTATTTTCTGAGAGCTAATGAAAGCTATTTACAGCAGAAAATCCAGTGGCTACAAAAGGAGGAGTGAACAGCCCAAGCTCCAGAATAAAGAGCCAAGGAAGGATCTGATTCTATCAGAATAAAAATACTGCCAGACTGCTTTAGACCTCAGAGAAGTCGCAAACACAGAGACCATTGGTTCTGTCAGAAGGTTTCTCAGTCTTGGGATCGGGGGGCTGTTTCTAACCAACCTGTCCAGCTCTGGAAGATTTAGGAGTATAGATCTCACTACCAATCCTTGCTCTGCAACCATTACCAGCAGCACTCATATCACCTCTCCTCACCAATAGTCCTTGTACAGTGGAAGCTCTTCCTGGCTTTGCACAAACTGTACAGCACATTACATGCAATTCAACCCGCAGTTATGTGATGATACGGTGACCTACTCCAAGGCTGTGACGAGTCACCTTCCCGCATTTGGTCTCTAGGGTCTCAATTAAGTGGGCCAATGTATTCTGCTTGTCATCATGATTAATTTACCAGGATGGTGCACAGTGCTACATGGCTTTTAGTATCTATACTAGCTTAGTGGGCTCTAGCTTGCATGTGTATAGATGTTGCACAACTCAGGAATCTCCTTGGAGAAAAAGACAACAGGAGATTTTGAACATCCTTTCTACTTCAGAATAAGTTCAGGCAATCACATACTTTGGGGACAGCAGATAACTTCTGTATTGCCACATCTAGTGAAGATCCCACGGGAAAAAGGCAGCTTTGTAGTTAAAGAAATGGTACTTTTAGACACTGATTAACCAGGCCCTCCCTTGGATACATTTCAAGACAGCACTTCTTCCTCTGGCATCTGCACTAGCTGCCTGGGGGCCAAAAGCAGAGCAGGTACTGGAGACATTGCCTGCCTCTGTAACTTCTCTCTTTGCGGGATGGTCAGAAGGCAGCATACTGGGTGGCCAGACCCCACATGGAGGAAACCCTTGCCATCCTCAAAATAAGGCATTTCAGGTGGTGCAAATACACTATCACACCTCTAGATGACTTGTTAATAATGAGACTGACATCCAGAGTCTTACATCTTAAAAATCAGTGTTCTCCTGCCCAAGCTGAGCTGACCTTTTTTCACTTAAAGCCTCACTAGAGCGGTGCCAAGCCCCCGGCTGGCAGCGAAAGGGCTTGCATCATTGCCTGCGGCAGGAGGAAGGGAACGTCCCTTCCCAGGGGGCTGCTCGTGACACAGCAAGGAGACACAAGTGGAGGCAATCTCCCAGCCAAACAGGGACAAAACTCCTGAGACCTCACTGGGACCCTGCCCAGAAAAGCAGGTGCCAAAGGAGTAGGGAGAAGGAGACCCACTCTGTCTATGTTGGGAATGACTTCTGATTTGGAAGGGGCTGCACCAAAAGAGGGACATTTCCTTCTGCAACAGCGGGTGAATTGCAGAGGGATACAGCAGCAGCTAACAAGCAGGAAGCAAGGGGAAGAGTCATTTCCTTGTCAGGTGGTTCAGTCACAGTTTGCAGGCAGGAAGAACTGAAGCAAAGAGAATTCTGGTTTCCAAACCTGCCTCTTAAATACAGAACATATTGCATGTTATTCGGTGCCCAAGATGAACTAAAACAGAAGAATGTTTGGTTTCAGTACACATCTTACTGGTGACTCATATTTTATTCATAGTACAGAAAGGCCAGAAGTTCACACTAGTGAAGAAATCCCCTCTCTTTCTGTGCAGGCTTCAAAAATCGGTCATAGCAGAACAATGCTATTGAACTCAGGAGGGCTTGGGTTACCAGCTTCCCAATTCCCAAAGCCTTTCAGTTATTTTTCACTTTTTACATTCGCAGGACTAATCAGGCAAAACCTTGACTGGAGTATTCTGCTTTAATTACAAAATGCACTCAGACCAAAGGCTTAACAGCACCTGGTACATATGTACACGTTTATCTCAATTATAACACCAAAGAGCACAACGCAGTCTAGTCCTACTTTAAATCAACTATTTCCCTCTGGCAAGATCTTTGGAGTACAAACAGACAACACAGTTATGCTTGAACTGGCTCTTAGACACAGGGCACCAGGCTCTACACTTGATCATGTACTTTGAGTTGCTCAGGGTGGATAGTAAAAGTGAAGAGTAAGACAAGGGAGGCAAAACTGGAACCCAAAGGTAATTTGAGCCCATATCCCACCATACCAAAAATGCAGCAATAGGCAACTCCCTCCTTGTTGCTGCAGAGTAAGGACAAAGTGGATAAATTACAAGTTTTTTATTGCTGGTGAACTCAAAACAGGCAACTTTAATCTACTGAGGAAGATGCATGTACAAATGTTAGGCCTTTGTGCGTTTTTCCTTTTTCATCTTAATGAAAATGTCTCTACACCTTCAGTCCAGATCCTTGGCCCCTGCTGAGCTGCCAGCGAGACCCTTGGTGTCTCACTGGACTCTGGTCACTCCTCCTGTAGGACGGTATAAGAAGCATCACATGTATTAAAAAAGGGAGATTTCTCGGAAAATACAAAGCTCTGTTATCATGTTGCTCAGAAAGGAGAAGTCTAGCTAATCCTGCTGCATTAGGTACATGGTTTAGGTACATGGTATTACAGAAAACCCTGCGACAGCATGAGTTGTCCAGGGGATTATTTGAATCGATTTAAGAATTTGTTGGGTTCCATTCTGCTTCTGGTGTGCAAGCTGCAAGTAAAGTGCACTTCTTAGTGTAAATTACAACTCTATGAAGATGCGGTATCTACGTAGTACTTGTCAGACATCAGTAGAAAACAGACTACAATAGTGGTACAATGGCATAGGCAATAAGGATAATAGAGTAAGATGTTGGATGCCACCTGTGAAGCCTTCCATGGTTTGAGCACCTGGGTATTGCATAACTGTGCATCAACAGTGTCATTTAGGAGGAAGCTTCTAAAATCAAAGGACATAATTGTGCACCAGGTTACCACTGCAAGCAGTCACTCCTCCTCCTCTCGTCCCATACGCAGCTGGTATGGCATCACCAAACGATGCTGATAACTGCTCCTAACTTTTTAGAGTTTTGTAACAGCTCAGGACAAAACGGGGATCCAAAGGATGTTTCTATGGAGCTGAGGGTTTCAGAGGGTTGTGGGGAAGGCAGCATTATACCAGAGTTAAGCTAGGCCGTGAGAGGACAGCCTAGTTTCAGATACTGTGTTTAGTTACCCTGACAGAATTGCTTCACTTGCACCAGAGCCAGAACGGAGAGATCCCAACTCTTACCTGTGCCTTGCAACTAATGTTTTGTTTTAGTAGAGCTGATTTACATTATCCCACCTACAAATCTCATCTCTTTTCCCACCCTCCATGTACAATGTCAGGTGCCTATTTTACCTGGGTCTAAACCCTTGAGACCATCAGGGCTGACAAACAACATACTATTTCTCTGATTTCATAATACTGGCAGCACAGCATTAAAAAAAAAAAAAGGAAAGAAAAATCTGTTCAGTGTTTGTTCTCTTTTAATTTAATGAACTATAAAAAGGGAACTCAAAATACCCAATACCCACCTAAGTATTCTGGGTGCTTCAGAAGACACTGCATACCCCAAGGCAGATTTGATTAACTCCTTGACGCCAGAGTTTTCACGTGTCCATTGCCAGCAGCGGATGTCATGTGAGAAGGGAGGAGGGAGGAATAAAATAATTGCACTGTGTGATACAAAAGGATTAACACTGCCTTCATAACAGCAGAACCAACCAGCAATTCCCCTCACAGAGCCAGAAGCGCTTTTCTTCTCTGGAGTGATGCTCCAAGGAGCAAATTCACAAATGAGCACCCCTCATCGGAAGTAGAGGACCAACATGGACAAACACATTTCCAACACAAGACTGGAATTCAACAATCATACAAACAGATTTGCATTGCAAGCTAAATTCATCCCTGGTGCAGCTCTCTTGACTTTGGTGGAAGAACACCTAAAATTTATCTGGCCCTACAGGGCAATTACAGCAAACCTCCCTCATAAAACTGTTAGGAGTGAGATATGTCTGACAGCTGGAAACACCATGTTTGTTGCTAACTCCAACAGCCAAGATTTCCCAAAGCAAATAATTAATCTGTGGCTGCCAGTATCAAGCACTTTCTGCATTATAGCTTTCCCTCTGCTTTCCCTATGCTCCAAGAATGTTCCCAAACGGATTAAATTGCAAACTGTCCCTAGCACAGATATCTCTAAAATGGAGACACAGCACTTTCTCCCCCTCCAGCTCTCTACTGGCTGCATTCACACCCTAACCGCAGGCTCAATCAGAGGGAGCATGAAGAAATGCTCTTTAGAAACCTTCTTTTACAACATGCCTCCCTCCCTGTATCAGGTGGTGTGACATATCCCTTGCTGCCTCCAATTAGCATTATGACAAAGGCTTGCTGTAGTTATGTAAAATAGAATTTGGGAAGAAAAAAAAAAATCCTGCTCTTGATACTCTGAGGAGAGCACTGGGCAGAACTGAGCCATGACCTGCCAACGCTAAAGGAAGGTGACAGTCAGTCCTGCAGGGCTCTGAATCCTTGATACTGCCTTAGCCACAAAAAAATTTTTGACCTTTGGTCAAGCACAAGGGGTTACAGCCAGACTAAGTCATCTGTGTCATTAGAAACAGAGGAATCCCTGGGAAGGAAGGCAGAAAACCCTTGTGGAACGTACAATCTCTAAAAGGTTTGCACGGTTGGGATGGGAGCCAGAATCTGGAGCAGCCCTTCAGGCAAGTTCTGCTCTGAGGGGATACAGGTGATGGGAAGACTTGTGCTCTTTCTTGTTCCTTTTGCCAAGATTCAGATTGCACAGATTATGGTAAAATTCACTTGGCAAAAAAGGCCTTTATTGGAAAAAAAAAAAAAAAAGGAAAGGAAAAATAAAGAAAACTTCTCTAGTGAGTATCAGGACTGAGACTTCAAAAAGTACAAGATTTGTATAAATTCAGCAACATGTCCAGCACCAGAATATACTGTGGTGCACCAAAGAACCTGGAGGGAGGCCAAGGGGACCTCAGGAAGGGAACACCATCTAACTCCCTAGCAGACTGCCAGTCTTAGGTTCTTCTCAACAGCAGACGGATTTTCCTTGTTCCTGCAGCATCTCAGGTCCCATGGGAGGTATTGGTTGCAAGCAAGCACCTGAATATTGCCTAATGGAGTAAGCCAATCGCTAACGTAGCTGGCGTGTCCATGCCCATCCATTGAGTGTTTTCTTTTTGTATGCATTTCCACTGCAGAATTTTCTTCTTCTTTCTCCACATAAGTCTAAGCAAAAGGACTGCTTTCATCTGTAATAAGTTAAAATCAGAAATGACCTAACAAGTAGCTGACATTGGTCCTTGGAGCCCAAAGAGTAAAATCCATAGAAAATCTATTGGTTCCACTTTTTTCTGGTATATCCCATGCACACCCCCATTAGAAAAAAATGGGGTTTATGAATCTTATCATACAGGAAAGAGCAGTACCTCAAAGCCAGAGCTGACAGTCTGTAGTAGCGGTCTAGGCTCTCTCAGAGTGCTAAGAGTGGCTCTGAGTCACTATTCAATCAGTTTTCACATGGCCGTTGGCCAAGGCAACAGGGACAGTGGGGGCCCCTGGCTCAGCAGTCTCATCAAATCGTAAGCGCAGGGTGTTTCTGATCACCAGCTGCTCCATGATGAAAGAAGCACAAAACCATGGGATGGCATACTCCAGGGTGATCAGGCCCATGAAGTCAAAATCAAACTGGGAATAGTCCCATGGGCAGGCATTGAACTGGCGTAGAATGAGGCCAGTGGTGAACTCCCAGAGGTATGTCCAAAGAGTGTAAATGAGGCAGCGCACTAAAATGTTACACTTGTCCTTGAGATACAGATACATCTTCTCCACAATGAGGATGGAGGTGCCATAAATGAAGAGTGCCCACACACTGGTAACACCTGGGAACTTCCAATTAAAGTTGACCACAAACTCCCAGGCAGCTGTGAACATCACCTCACAGAAATAGCCATGAATGGCATAGAGATACCACCGGGAGAAAGCGGTCAGAGGCTCTGCCGCAGCCATTCTTCTGCACACACCCCAGCAGGCACTCTGAAATGAAAACAGAGAGAGAAGTCAATAAGGATGTCACAAGTCCTCACCACCCAGATGACAGCATGCAGAAATTCACAACATCCACAAAGGACCTGAGAAACAAAGTGCATTTTAAATTACTTCAGTTTTACTACAGTGAATTTAAGTCCTGCGGAAATGTGGCACCTTAGGCTCCGAGGCTCAGAACGGGCCCGGACAACTTATACTGCTCTGCCAGAGAATCTGGATGTAGCTGGAACTGGTGACAAAAGGTACAAAGGCTTTGCCAGTAGTGGGGCAACCAAAGAACTTACCAGATGCAATTGCCAATAGAAAAATACAAGCATCTCAAAAGAAGCACATGTCACCTTTTTGCTCCTTTCAAAAACAGCACTTTGCCGATTCCAATATGCATTAGATGAGATGAATGGAGCACTGAAAACCTTAGCCCTTTCAGGTGCCTCCTAAGTCCCCATACCCAGAAAGTTTAGCGTAATAAAAGACTATGCTTTCATGGGAGCTACAAAAAGGAAACCGGAGAAGAAAGTTTCTGAGGTTTTACACTTTCAGATATCACACCTTGTGCCCAGTAACTGAACTGCTGTTTCTTCTGTTAGAGAACTCACAGGCATCATATAGCTAAGATTTGGAGAAAAATTGATTATGGTATCAGACCTCCTGATCGGAAGTCAAAAAGTGCAAGAGAGCCATTCAAGTCCATTCAGGTTTGGGTTCAGGACAGCAGAGCACAAAGCACGAGAATAAAAAGGAACGGCTGAGCATAGAGAGAGGTGGTTAGTCATGAATTAGGAAATGAGAACAAACTCTAATTGTCTCTACGGGAGGAAACTTGGTGAATAGGCTTTGAAAGGGCATAATTTACTTATCACTGAACAATCTCAACACAATTAGTTTTTACTTTTCTTTTTGTTTTAAACACAATTTTTTGTACAGACTTTTAAGCTCTTAAGCATTGCCTTGCCACACTATCACTCATTGGCCCAAGTTCATTTCAGGCATAATTCTACTGAAGCCTTAAAGATTTACAACACAGGGTGAATATGACCTCTTTCATTCTTTAACTATATGTTTTCAAGTCAGGTTTCTCTTGACCCCTGAGTAGGCACTATTTAACTTCTCTGCTCTGCACTTGCCAACTCTGTAGTACAAGGTGCTAGGAAAGGACTACAGTACTGTCATGTGCAGCCATACCATTGCCATCTGGAAATAGATTATTCCTGCCCTGCTCTGTAAACACTGTACCTCTTCCAACAAAATATTAATATGCAGTGGTGCCCTGAAATTCTGATAGGAGATAGGTAAAGAGAAAGATTCATTAAAAAAAAAGAGGAGTTAGAATAATGAACACAAAGAAGGTGAGCGGAATATTCACTGGAAAAGTGTGCTCAGCCCTCCTCCTGTACTGTAATACATTTCGGAGGAATGAGAAGCACTGGGGAATATTGAAAGTGGAAAGGAAAGAGCTATACCCATAACCCATTCGCTCCTCTCTTAACTGGATAACAAACGACCCAAGTCTTGGCAGTTCACACGATATGGGTGTTTGAACAAAGACCCATTTCTAATGGCACAATTCATGTTACGCAGGCCACTGAACTATCTGCAGATGCTAGAGATCCGGGTCAGTAGCAAATTGTGAGCTTAGTCTTTCAGCCATAAGGAGTCACTAGAAATTCCCTCATGTCTCCTAACAGTTCAGTTATAAGAGACACTCCAAGACAACTGTCGAAGTGTCACATGAATGTGCGTGGGGTATATCTGCACACAGTTCACAAGAAGCTGATGTGTAAGGGCATTGCAGACTTCCTCTCTGATAATGTTAGCTGGTTAATTTTCCAGCACAGTCAATACGCTTAGGAGGATCTTATCTTGAATCTTCATATCATTTCCCCATTTTCACATACTTTCAAGAGCAAACCAGTAGTCAGAGCTACAGGAGAAAGGGAAAACGATAAGGAGGAAGCGGGCTGTGGCTATCTTTTATGAGAATGAGGATATACAGCAGGAGGGGGAGAAGCTTCTTATATCTGAGGAAACAGATGTCAAAAGAAGCAGAGGCCTTAAAGGTCCTACTAAGGTACCTTGCTAGGTAAGGTACAAAGGAAATACAGAACTGAACTGTCATTCACTGCAGAAGAAAACGATTGTAAAGTTTTCACTGAACTGCCAATGGTTGTATGTTTTTCCTCCCTTTTCAATAAGTCTTTCTAAGCTTCTCCCCTGGTGCTCCTACCTCCTTGCCCTTCCCTCTACATCATTATAGGAAACGTATCAGAATTCTGCTATTTGGAAGCACGTGCAGCATGCAGTACTGTCTGTCATGTTTTCCTTATAATTTTGGAAATCTCGTTTCTAAGCTGAACCTTTAACAAAACAAGTTGTCCAAATATGCAAAGGTCCTTTCCTCTCAATCCCTCCCTTCTTCCCTCCAGGGATCCCTTCACAAATTATTTCTATTGCCTTATGCCTGCCCATCAAAGCCAAAGACTCTGGCAAGTGTATCCAACAAGCCATGTCCTGTTCTGCACCGCATAAGTTTTTCTGTGCAATGGAGATCTCGCTCTTTCCTGGTATTATACACCACATACTCAATAATTACCCAGTTAGACTTCCAGGGTAGGGACTATTTTGCAAAATGTAAGAAAAGCAGAGACTATGACTAAAATCTGAATGTAGACTTGGGACAACCTCGGCAACTGAGATCAATATATTATAAACACTGTCCTTTGAATCCTGACCCTTTCACCATGATTGCAAGGAGACAAGCACCAATGTGATGATAATGTCTCAGCACTTCCCTTCTACTGTCTCAATCAACCTGAGCTTGCACAGGAACTTCCTTCTTATGATATGCTTGAAAGATAGTCCTCACTGGCTGGCTGCCGATTAAAAGCATCCTGAAACAGAGCAGACAAACTGTGGCAGCCCAAACATGAACTGGTTCCACTGTGCTAGGCACTAAGCAAATCTGTAAATCAACACAGCTCCTGGTGCAAAATACTTCATTTGAAATAAGACAGAAAGTATACAGTAAGAAATAGAAGAGAATAAAGGATACTGAGGGAGAAATACAACAAGCTATATCACATTATTGCACAAGTTGGGGACTATACAACTTAACGGCTACAAGACACTCGAGCGTTTACAAAATAATTAAAATTGCAGCTGTCCCACACGTCTCATTTCCCAGCCATATCAAATTGGCTGATCCCTGGTAGACAATACAGCAAACAAAGGTCTTAAAGAGATACGGAGGAGCAGAGAGGTGTCATTTTTTTGGGCAGCAATTCATGCATAAGGACCATGCTGAAAAGCAGTTGCAGGATATTTGTGGGAGAAGCATCTAACCAGAAGACCAAGACTGGATTCAATAAGAGATGCAGATTTGCGAAGAGCCTAAAAGAGATAATTGAACTTGGTGATACAAGACTTTTAATGGAGTGACAGTAATACAGACCAAAAAGCTTGAACATGTGATAGTATTTAGTCCCCTGAAGAAAACAAGTCATGTATATCAGTGAGGCAGTTACAGTGGGATGGACATTGACTTCCTGAAACGCAGAAGTACAGCTGCCAGCTATGCAACTGCCTCAGCAGAGAAGAAACAAGTCATGGAGACCAAGTTCCCCATCAATCCTCCACAGGAGGATGGCAATGCTTGTATTGCTGCTGCTCACATTGTGCTATTTTGTGGAAAACAGGGAGCTTCTAAGTTCAAAGCTGTGAAATTAATACCTTTCATCAACAGCAAGTTCTCTTTACATTTCAAGCAGCTGAAGAAACAGTTCCTCAAAACAGTACGTTATTAGCAAAACTGAGCTAAGCCAGCAGAGAAGTTTTCCATCTTTCTCCAATAGGACCTTTTTTCCAACCTGCTGATAGAATTAGAAGAAAAAAGGCAAGTATGCTGAAACTACATATCAGCCTAGGAACATACAGTCTTAGAATTTCTCCTGGCAGTGTCTATGCAGGTAACATTCCTTACAGCACAGGAGCCCAGAACTTCTCCACCTACTCTACCTACAACAAAAAAAAAAGGCACCTTCAAATCATAGGCCTAACAGGCAGAGAGTATAAAGGACTGTGTTTCTCTGCAGAGATCTGGTTGTAAGGATCAGGGCAGGATGCTCTGGTCTAGGGCTGCAAGAAAAAGGGATGCTAAGATTATGCTTTTAAATTTTAGAATATCAACTCCTTATTGAATATTAACCATCCCCTAGACTGAGGCAAGATACCAATAAACCTGATGCACCAGGTGAAGCAAGGAGAAAGGAGACAAATCCCCAACTGCTCTAGGGACTATTTCACAACGTGCCAGGCATTTTGTGCAAGAGGAGCTCTAACACATTCAGTTTTAGTGCTCAGTTTTAGGTGGCTACACATTCAGAGGTAGCCCAGGCAGGCAAACGGCAAGTGATCAGGAAATGAAGAAATAATGGCAGATTTGTCATGCACAAGCACTGCAGGGGGGGACATCAGTGCCTGTCATGTTTGTGCCTGATCAAATTGCTGAGCATTGTCTGGTTCACATTCAAAGCTCTCCTTCATAGTGGCTTTCTGCCTGTCTCCCTGCTACCAAGTCAAGCTGTGCTTCAAAAGTCTCTCTCAGGTTGTCTCTCTCCTCTGTACTTCAGTAGAATCACTCAGACCCACAACCTTCGGATGATTATAATAAGCCCTACTCAAGACACTCTGAATTAGTTCTGAAGTGCTAATAAAAGAAAAACACAAACAATAATACACAGGACGGTTCCTCTGACTAGCTAGGGCCTTAGGCTGCAAATTCTGTCAGCTACTTGATTCACCACAGGTGAAACTCTGAAATACATGGCACCTGCCACTGCTGGACCTATCATAAGCTCTACTGCTTATGATATTCCCCTTCCTTGTCCCTTTCTTAATCAAACAGTACTTTTATATAAGTAATTGTCCTTCATGACTTTTTGGATTTTTTCATTGACACATCTTTATATCTACTCTTGCTTAAGATCTGGAGA